CCGTGCAAACCTGGGGGCTGGGCTGGAGACCTAGCCCTGGGGCAGCACCGAAACCCCAGCCCCCAGCCTGACCCCTCCCCAGCCAGCTCCCAGCTCCCTTGCCATCACCCTCCGCCTGCGCTCAGGAGGAGGGGGTCAGTATAGCCGTAAAGTTTGGGTGAGTCTATTTAAATGTTCTTATTTATATTATTTATAACTTACGCTTTTCACTATTTATTTGCCAAGACTGGCAGGGCCGTGCTAGTGCCGGCTTGCAGGAGGTGGCAGAGCTGCAGCAGAGCCGCCGTGCCCAGGACACAGCCGCAGTGACACGGATGGGGACAGGACCCCGAGAGTGGACCGTGAGGTGGGCACGGAGGCAGCTGGGCACGAGCTGGCCCAGCAGCCCGGGCTCCGTGCCCTGCAAGCCTCCCCTAAAGGCAAAGCCCTTCTCCTTCGTCTTCCTCACTGCCGCAGGCTCCTGCTCTGCTCCCTGCTCCGTGCCAGCCCAGCGGGGACAACCCAGCCATTCTATGCAACCTCCCGGCGGAGCATCCCCGCACTGGCCCCGGAGCGAGCGCTGCGCGCGCGGCATCACAGAGCGGGGCCCGACCCGCGCCTCCGCTTCCTACCTCGGGCCGCGAGCTGCCATGGCCCCATCACCCCGTGTCGGTCCCCGCCACCTTCGGGGTTCAGCCCAGCACCCCACGGGGCCGCACTCGCGTACCCCCACACTGTCTTCCTGCACCGTCTTCCTCCCTGCACCGTCTTCCTCCCGCCACCTTGGCACCCGTGTGCTCCCCACGTGCTGGCACGGCCGTGGCTCACGGGCTCGACGCCTCCCGGGGACATCCCTGTCACGGTCCTTGCCGCCGTGGCATGGTGGCCACGCACCTGCACCCCCACACAGGAGAAGAGCATCGCCCCGGCCATGCAGGCACCCCACCAGCGAGGACGCAGTGGTTCAGGCTTTCCCCGCGATGCCGGCGCCTTTCCGCGGCAGCACCGCGTCCCTCGGCCAAGCAGGCACGGAGCGCCACGCCTCTGCCCCTGTCTATACTGTAAATAGCAGATACTACAGCAATAATTTTCCGTGCATGATAGATTTTTTTCTGCCAGGTTTTGTACTCGACAGCCCCCAGTAAGACAAGTCTACTGAGAACCGGCCGCCCGCAGTATTACTTGTAACGCAATTCAGGGATATAAAAGGGATTTCTGCCACTAACCGTGTGTCTCGGGAGATTTGTACAGGTGGTGGCGGGTGGTGGCACGCGAGCGCCGGACAGGGGAAGCCAGCTGCCAGCCTGCCCGTCCCGTGGTGCCCTGGGCAGCCCTGGGGCGGGAGCATCACGGAGAAAACATCTGCCCCAAAACAAGGGGTGGAGATGCCTCGGCAGCCAGCCGGGATGGGGGCGGCTGACGCACCCGGAGCATCCAGCGCTGCCCGCTTTGCCTTGCCAGCCCCGGCAGCCTGTGGGCAGCAGCCAGACAACCCCCTGCCGTGGCGAGCGGTGGGTTTGTAATGCCACCCCACCTGCAAAAGTGCCAGGGAGGCTGCGAGCAGCAGCAGAGCATTGACCTGGAAGTAAAGCACCATGTGAATTCCTGGCGGGCAGCCCGGGGGATGCCCAGCGATGCTCTCGCACCCCCAGCTTCACCCCTGGGGCTCGGCCGCGCTGGACGAAAAGGGT